TAAAATACGAGTGCATAAATTAGTTGATTTAGAGAATTTCATAAATATTTCATTATATATTTTATTATATACTTCATTATATATTAATAGTCTTTTATTTATTTTTTTTTTTAGCTTTTTCTTTTTTATTCAAGAATTGCATTGCAAATTTAATAAGGCACTCTTCGCGTTTTTTTGGAGATTTTAGTATATTAGTGTTGCGAAATAGAAAAGATTCCACTCACGGTTTGTTCGGGTTTATATTGAGTGGATATTTTTTTTTTTTTTTTTGGTAACCCTTCTGGTTACCTCTTTTTTCTTTTCAGCATCCCCTTATTAAGAGCATTTTCTATTGAAAATACTTTTAAAAAATATCAAATAAAATGTTAAAAAATGTGTTTCTTTAAATACATAAATGTCTTTTATTTAGAATTATGAGTTACTTAACAATATTTTGATTTGATTTGATTTTATTTTAAAAATTAATATTTCTTTTTTCTTTTTACTAATCCAGTGATTGAGTTTGTTACAGGTACAAATTGAAGAAAATAGAGAGAAGAAGAAGAAGTAATTAAGAAATGATTCGATTTTCATTTGTTAGAATCTAATTATCTGTGTTATTAAATTTCACTAATTTTGTTGTATAATTTGTTTCAGGAACTCTTCAGTCCTTAATTTTCATCTTTCAATAGAGGGATCATCTCATACTTCTTTCATTTTAATTTTTATATTAAGTAGGATCAAATAAAGTTGGTAGAATTTATAAGATAGGATTTATAAATGATTTAATGTTCTCTTCTTCCTCTTCTTAAAAGGCATTATTGCCTTTCCTATTCCGATTCATAGTTTCCCGAAAGAGTATTCCTTTTCAAGGCAACATGATCATGAAATTGCCATTCCTAAACTTCCTTGTTTTAAACAATCAAATCCTCGATACTTGATATCTACGTGACTTCGTTCACTAGCTATCATTCACTTCTTCTTTGACCATATGTGGTTCATATGTTTGTGTTGTGAATTTTTGAAAATTGTGATGTTGTTGGTATGGATGTTTGGTTGTGAGAAGGATCCTTCAAATTTTTAATAGACAGGTTTCATAAATAAAATATTTTTAATTATTTATGGATAGATAGGGAAAAGAGCTCTTAGAATAGGTAGGAAAAATGTTTTAATCCTATATTTAAGTTTGTTTCAGGATTTTTCTTTCTTCTTAGAAGAATAGAAGATTACATCGTGGAAAAATATTGATTAAAATGTATTTAAAAATGTAAATATATTTACAAATAAATATGCAAATCAGGAGGGTGTTGAGTAGTTTGTAGACAAGTAGATAATGGCCAAAGTAGTGCTTTGTAGAATGCTTATTTCGCTTCTTTTTTTTCTTTTTTTTTAAGCTGCTAACTATCAATTATTTTCCATTTTCATAATGATGGAAATGTAAAATATCGATAGATTAATTAAAATTTCATTTTCAGATTTAGTCTTCCGCGTCGGTTTTCTTTTTATAGCTCCTTTTGTTGTTCGTATTGCGCAACGTGTAAAAAGTTTGAACGTTTTGCAAGCGTACACCAAAAGGAGAATTTATTTGAAATATATATAATAAATATATAAATAAATTTTCACACGCAAAAGGAGGGTGGATGGGATGTGGCTAGGGTGGGTCTCCAATTCGCAGCAACCTCCAAGCGGTGAGACCTGGGAAATCATTATTATTTAATATACAATATATAATTATATCGCCGTATAGTTAATATCAGTGGTATAATTATATATTTTATAAGAAATAATATGAGCTAATTGGCTGCGATCGCGATTATATTTAGATAGAAATTTTATGTAAAAAATAATAAAGTTTGTTATAATATGTAAATAATAAATAAAGTTTGTTAAAATTATAAAGTACATAAATACAAATTTTTATTTTTATTTTGTATTTTGGAATGATTCAATTTTGTGTAGTTAAATTAAAGTTTGCTATAGTATAAAAAATACTTTCGGTATTTTTTGAAGTCGGTATTTCAGAACACGTGACACAAAGTTCCATAAGTTTTACCGTTCGCAGATAAAACCGTGACACCATTTAAATCACTAGCTTCTAGATCGTCCGTATTAACAATAAAAAAATGTACCGACACTGCATGTTTTTTTAAATTATAAAATACATGCAAGATTTCAAATTTTATACGAAATTAAAATTTCCGCACATATTTTCGACGCGTCGATATCGAAAGTCGAAACGAGACTAAGGCCTGTAAACAACTCGACGGATAAAGGCACGCGCTGTATCGATACAAACGATTATTTCTATTTGAAATTTTATAATTTCAATATTCTACCGATGAATTATTAAATTCATTTAATTCTTTTTCTTTTTTATTTATTTTTTTATTTATTTTTTTATTTTTATCATTCTAACGATAATAGATCTATCCTATATCTCATCCGTAATTCACGGAACATACGGATAAAAAGTAACACTTGAAAACAGGTAAAACACTCTTCTGCATTGTCTTACTTAGTTATTCGAAAGATCGCACCACTGTTTTGCACGTAATGGCACTTGATTTAAAATCTCGATCGCATTGATGGGTTTTAAATCATTCTTGAAAACGAACAAAGTAGTTTTCAATATTAATTTTATTTTCAAATAGTACACGAATTTTTTCATTTTTTCGAGAATTACATCAAATTCATCGTACAACGAAACATTCGAATTTTTTTCTCGAAATTCCTCTATTCAAATTTGAGATGTAATTCATTTCTCTTCCGTTGATTGCCACTCGTCATTGTAAATCGGTTGCGTTAAATTTGTATCATAATTGCTACCTATATTATTCGTCAAAGCGACATTATCCCTATAATCAACGACTGGTCCTGCATCAGTCACGTGATCTCTTGTACCCTCATTTACTTGATAAGTATTCGTATCAATAGCATATTTATCAGAAGAACGTAATAATGGCTTCATTTCGTTATTTTCCACGTTACTAACATTTTTAATTAAATATTCATATTTCTGTGATTGCTGCGCATGATTGCTATAATTCCAATTCGTAAAATTGGAATTAACAAACGGGTATCCATAATTCTTATAGCTGATAAAATTTGTACATGGAACAGGTTTTTTTTCACTTTTGAAAAGTGAATTCGTCGAATCATTTGTACAATTCATTTTGTCGGGATTTGTAGTTATAAATCGTCTTTCAAAACTGCGACCCCAACCACCACCTGAGGATACACCATAACTCATAGACGGTGGAGCACCATAATAATCTCCTCCGCCACCACCACCTCCGCCACCATAACCTCCTCCACTCCCTCCACCGTAGCCTCCTCCACCATAGCCTCCTCCACCCCCTCCACCGTAGCCTCCTCCACCTCCTCCAGTAGATTTCGTTAAGAGGACAATTTCTTTGTATTGGCCTGCAAATAATCAAGTGTAATACTGTGTTCATTCTATATTCGTAATGATAATCGACGATGATGAATATTCGTGATGTATTACCTCCACCGCCTCCGCCTCCGCCACCGCCACCGCCACCCTTCATGTATTTGTTCATTAACATTGCCATTGATATCATTAGGGACATACCTGCCATCATCATTCCTTTCATCGTTGCTATTCCTGATTTAAAAAATTTTTATTCGATTAAAATTAATTATATTTGAATATTCATCGGAATGGAAGGCAATATTTTATACATTTACCCATAAATTTCATTTTGAGCATCATAAGACCTGCCATCATCATCATCTGACACCCTTTGCCTTTACCACCTCCCTTACCACCTCCTTTTTTCCCTCTTCCTAGAGTGTAACAATACGCACGTCGGCATATGAATTATTTCGTTTACATTATTCACATTAAAATTAAAGTTAAACATTAAAATTTGACAAACCTTCGACAATATCGGTTTCGTCGAACATAACATCGATCTGATTCTTTTCTCGATTCCCATTCCACATGGGTAACGTAATTCTCAAGGCGAACGTATCAAAGAAATCATTCACGCTGCGCTCTATATTGTCATTACTCTCGTTAACGAATCTACGGCTGCTCCTCGTCCTGGTCTTCACCAGTTTAACGTCTTGCCCCATTAAGTGAATCTCGTTCATGCTCCTAACGGACTCTAGGAATCGGCCGAGACGATTTTTCGCGCAGATCAACGAGAGATCGATAACGCATCGGTTTATATCCATGGCGGGAAACTCCGGGAACCCATCATCATCATCCTTGATCGAGTCATTTTTCAACGACGGTACCACTCTGATATCCACTCTGATCCCGTTCTTCCGGAAATCGAACACTCTTCGGCCAATGTTGCTAAAAATTTCATTAATTTCAATTTTCGAAAGAAACCGTAGCCACAGAAATATTAGAAGAAAGAAAAGGAATCACTTGTATGAAACAAACACATTTTTCAAATATAATAACGAAATAACAAAATGAACAAGTACTATCGACGATCGTTGGTCTCGACGATTTTATAAGGATCCACTTGATTCTTCTTGATCGTCGCATCGTTGACTTGGCTTCGCACCACGATCGGGATCACCAATAAAATCACAATCAACATCGATCCTTGCACTCTGCTCACTTTGTTCCTGAAACTCGTCATTGCTCGATCTATCCCCAAACGATTTCCAAAGACTGATTTCCATCAGATCGTAATATCGTTTATATACAATAAGATTTATGTCATCCAATGTATTTTTTCCAAACATTGTCACGATTACCATTTATCATTCGCCAGTAAGTAAACAACGTAATGACAACGTTTACTCGGTTTGATCTCCTAGATTGCAAAGCAGGATGCTGCCTTTCGAGAATTCGGGGACAAGATTATTGCGAAAAGATTAATAGAATTTGATCCCGGTCTGCGATGATGAAATCTTCTGTCGTTTGTTATTTAGCCGTTTCTTGGATATAATAATCGAAGAGGTAATTATTATTTTCTTTTCGATAAATAAAATTGTGAAACAAAGAGCGCGTAAGAAACATTGTAACGAAAGTATAATCTTCGAAAAAAAATTAATTATTTTGGGATTGGAAATTGTATTGAAAACGTATATAATATTTTCTATTTTTACAAGTTATGCGAATGTATCATCGAGGAAGTGTCGAACGGTGAGAAATGTTGGATAATTGATTATGGATAGCTTCGACATGTGCGTCGAAGAAAGGAACGACCTTATTTCATATCGATCTAATTGAATGGTACATTCATCTTGCTATTATACATGTAATCCGGGATGTCTGTAATTTACTTGACAGAAGCAAAGAGCATGATTCTTTGAGTCATTTCGTTCGATTTCTCGTTCCTTTTGCTACGCGAATCTAACTAGCATCATTGAAGCAGTCAATTAAATTAATTCCAATAAATTCCAAATTTTCGAATACAAAATACAAGATAAAAGAAAATACGAAACAGGATCAAAAGCGGTTTCTTAAAAACATGATTTTTTTTTTTTATTAAAACTTTACAATGAGTAATAAATACAATATAAATAACAAAGAGAAAATCATGTACACGATTCGAGGATGGTCCATGTGCAACGACGACCAGCTTCTTCTCGAGCCTTGTGACCTGTGTGGTGGAGGTGGCGATAGCATGACTCCAGTATAAAATAAATACCTACGAATCTACGAGTTATAGCTCGGTGACGGTGATCGAGATTACAGTGATATAATGAAACGAGAGAAGCAGAGAAACGATGGATGGAAGAGAGGAACAGAAAAAGGAATGATGAATGGAGCGACAAAGAGACAGAGCGAGATAAAAGTATAGGAGAAGGAACATAATAGCGGTGGAGAGATCGAGGAGGAAAGAGTAGAAGTAAGAAGACGAGTGGAAAGGTGGTGAGGGGAGGATAAGAGAGGGAAACGAAGTGTGGTAGAACTCGGTGAGGTAGAGACGTGCTACTAGATCTCTGCCACCGACTGTTGTTCGGCGGCTCCTCCGTTCACGAGTTATTCTTAATTTTGTCGAAGCAACGATCGACGGTCCCGCACGTTGCCGTATTTCAGAACGGCCTGCTCCACGTCCTCGTGGATCGCGTCCAGGGATCTCCCGTATCCTGAATGCCCGTAACCGTGGCCGTGGTGCTCCTCCGAGCTGTGAGTGTGAGAACTCGAGTACACCGGTTTGCTCACGATCTCGTAGGTGGTCTTCTTCTCGCCCCCGCTCGCCAGTGATTTCAGACCGACGATGGCGGATAACATGAGGGCCATCAGACCTGTCATCAGCGCTTTACCCGCGAGCAGAGCTAGAGCGCCGAAACCGATTGCCCCCAACGTGCCCTTCATCATCATCAGACCCGCCATCATGCCTCCCATGCCGCCCTTCTCCTTCTTGCGCCCTGCGCGAAATCGTCGTTTTTTTTTTTTTTTTTTCTTTTCTTTTCATTCCTCTCTCGAGCTCATTAAAATCATTAAGAGAAGAGCGTTCGTTTGTAAATGGGGGGGAGGGGAAATTTCTTACCAGTTCCGACGCTTTGCCCGCCACCGCCGAGTCCAAGCTGAGCCAGGGTTTCCTCGTTAAAATTTCTCGCCGCCTCGAACGTCCTCGGATCGAACAGTTTGATGGAGATGGAGTGGCTGTTGAGATAACTTCCCACCTTGTGGACGAGGTACGCGTCCAGCCTCTTCTCCACGTCGTTGGGGAAATCTCTGGCCAGGTTGGCGACCACCTCCGAGGCGGGCACGTTCGCCGTCCCGTTCTCCTTGATCACCGACACACCCGGCAGGATGCTGATGTCCTCCTGCTCGGACAGCCTGTCGAGGAACGAGACCACGTCCAACTTGAGGCAGGTGGCGCTGTACGACTTGCCGCAATCCTTGCTCAAGCCCAAACTCTCGGCCGACTCCTCGACCATCTGCTTCGAGGTACGTCTCTCGATCTCGCCGACCGCGGGACCGACCAGAAGAACGGGAAGAAGAACAGCAGCCAAGAGGGCCTGCTGATGGCTTCGTTTAACCGCGACTCCCTTCATTATTTCTCCCTTGCTTTTCTATCGAGCTCGAAACTGGAAGAATCCGGAGGCCCCCCGAGATTCTTGACGCGATCCTGCTGGTGAACGGATCCGGCGGCGCGAGTATCTCGCTGGTTATGATAGGACTGGTCGATGGTATAGGATAGGACGGTAGGCCGAAGCTGACGGACGAGGCGCGTACCGTGCACTGGACATACCCTCGGATAGTTGCAGTATATATAGAGCGAATCACCGGGTAGTCCTTTTTCCTTTTTGCCTTTCGGCCCGTTCCATACATTCTCCTAAGTCGAGAGGCAACGGAGAGACGACGGCTCTCTTGCTTCGCGGCGGTCCAAGAGGAGGCGAGGGGCATCCACCACCGCCACCGCCGCCGCCGCCGCCGCCGCCTTGGCTCGCGTCAAGCGGCGAGAGGGAGCGTCAAATAGAGCGAAGAATTCGAATCTCTGTCGAATTCGCGGGGGGAAATAAGGAGATACCGGAGACGCTATAATGAGAGCGAAGCCTCGTTGATCACCTTGGATCACCCATTCACACCTGTGTGATCTCACAGGAGTGAATCACGGATTATTGCTTCCGTTTCTTCGATTCGATGTCGTGATCTAAAAATTATCAGTACGGAAAGTTTCTATGCGTACATCATAAATCGAGAAAATTATTTTATATATATATGTTTATAGGAGATGAGATAATAGATTCTTCTTTGTACCGAAAGCACATGTTAACGTGGATATGTATATAATGCAGAAGGAAATTCTTTATCCACCGTTTTCTGTGAATCCGTGCGTTTTACTCGGCCGTGGAAGAAAAGGAACAAGGTCGGTCGATCGAGTGTGGCGGATCGATCGGACGACGACAGTAACGAACCCGGCGTGAACCACTTTCGATCTCGACGACGAAATCGAGGCGGTCGGCAGTGGCCGTCGATCGACCCGGCAAAATGGAGGCTGCTCACATCCGGTTGTTAAGCGAAAATCGGTGTATTTACGAAAAGGGGCGCGGGGAGAGGGAGGAGGAATGGCGAGCACGTTATATTTACATCGGCTTGGAGCGAAACGAGAAGGCCTACTTTAAATCAGACCGGTTAACTCGGTGGAGATTGGATTTTCGCGCGCCACGCTCCAACGACGACGAGCGAGCGCGCGCTATGTCAGACGGATCTGACGGCGAGAAAGTGGCCAATTTCCACTCAGGATCCGGAGGAGCATCATTGGAAATCGCGTGATCGTGGAAATTGTGATTTTACGCGTTCTCCTGACTCGGCAACCTTCCCGAGATAATCTTCGGGGAATTTTTGATCGGAAGTTTCCTCGGCGAATCGCGTGAATCGTACGCTCGATTTCGAGGAGAGATAATCTTTTTCGATCGATATCGTTTTTTTTCTTTCTGTGCAGATAATTAATATAATTCAGAAGAGAGGCGTTATTCTTATTAAATGTTATTCTTAAAAAAAAGAAGAACTTGACTCGAAGAAGATTTATTTGCTCGAAATTTGGCAAGTTAAAAGAAGTAACAGATGTAACGAAATTAAATTAAAGAGAACCTGGTTGATTCAGAGATATACTCGGTCGTATTTCACTAAATATTTAGAGCTTCTCGAAACAAAGCACGCGAATCGCGTGAAAAATTCCAGCGCATTCCGTTGAGAAACGATCCGCCGTCAATAGGGCGTGGAGTTTGGAGCGTGATAAAAAATTCTCCGCCGTTATGGCGTTTTACATGGATTTCGTACGTTTCAGCAGGACGCTGCTCGGCCAACAGGTGTGCCGGAAAAGGAGAGGATTAGCCTTCTTTTCCACCTATCTGTCTTCTTTCGCCACTTCCTTTTACCGCAACGCCTTCCTTTCGTTAATAATCGCGCCATCTCCGCTCAGCTGCTCTTGTTTCGCGATCCGCTTGTGCCGGAACCGGCCAATCTTCCGCGATCCTAGGATCGTTAAATTTCCTTCCAAATTTTTCAAAATTTACCGAAATGGATTGGATCTTGAGATTCGTCGAAGATTCTTGTCGCTTTTAAATTTTTTGATAAAACTTTACAAATAACGATTCGATTCGTAGCAAGGATCAGGATCAATATTTTAATGGATCTGAATTTTCCACCAAATTATTTTTGTAAAAAGTGAAATTTTATTTTGGATGGAAGGGATTATCGTATATTGGGGATGTTGAGAGTTATTAGAAAATGTGTATAGTGTTACGGATTCCATAGAGTCGATTTTCATCGATCGATCACCGCCTTTCCAATCGATCGATCCAAACCGACGCGAACTGTGCCGCAAGTGGTGAAACGTGAATGGGCCATGTTGTTCCCCATAACTGTTCCTCGTATACTGTTACTATCCTTCTGGCACATTTGATACGCGACACGAGTTCGTCTGAATTTCATGGCCGGCTCATTATTCCACCCTCCTCCTCCTCCCTGTGTGCTATTAAATGATCCTTGTTCGAAAGGCGGCGCGGGCAAAAAGATGGAAAACGCTACTTTGCTACTCCACTTTCGAGACGGGGCGAAAGCGAAAATTAAAATCGATCAACGATGCAATTTCATAAGTGTCCTTAATTCCTCCGTCCACGTTTCTACGAATCACACGGACGAGTGATATAAGAAAATCGACCAGCTTCCCCTGTCCTTCCACTTCTGGTTGAAAGCTAATACAAAAGCGTGTGGAAATAAAAGCTGTGAATCGACTAATCCGCAGATATCTATTTGGGTTAAGTGGTCGGCTTTGCGGCAATTAGCAATTGAAACTGGAGAAAACTGGATCGAATCGTTCGTTCAATCGGTTGAGAAGTTCGATTTTATAAGACTGTCCCTGTCTAATCCGCAATCAGGTCAATCTCTGTTTCTTCTCCACGATTCTAATTCCCCATCTCTCTCTCTTTTTCGTCGATTTATATACAATATCTCGTTCGAATCACTACTTTATTTATAAAAATATCTCACAAGGAATATCTCAGTTTGAAAAAATATTCAAAGTTTTTGGTTTTGAAGAAAAGTGTAAAAAGACATTTTTTTCTTAAAATATCTCCTATAGTAATTTATTAAAAATTACTACCTTCGTTAAAAATGTATCCGATATACTTGTCTTTCGGATGGAATTTTCAAAAATGAATTATTGATAACTTTTCAGATATAACCGAGACACCCTGTATATGTCGGAAGGTAATTGCACCGCGGTCACCCCGTTTTCGTTTCGAAAATCGAGACATAGAACGTATCGAGAAAGTCGCCGTGAATTCCCCGAAGATCGATTGGTAATCCTCGAAAGAGATCGTTTCCTCGGTGAGCGGCGACGATTATTTGGAAAAGCGTGTCGCTCGAGGAGCGGCTCGCGTGCCCGACCATGACGGATCACATCACTGTCCCTCCCCCCTCCGTAGAATCGTAGAATTTCGATGGAGCTTCCCATCGTTTGCGTAATATAAGAATTTTATTGTAGTTTGATTATAATCCGTAATAGTAAGTTGTCTGTCCGAGATATCGAGTTTAAAATCTCGAAGGAAGAAGAAGGGATCTTCATTTTAATATATCAGACAGGTAGGATAATTCGTGATACCGGAAGCTTTCGATGGAAATGAAATATTGGGAATTTGGAAAATGAATTGTAATCTATGATATATTCAAGCTTTCTGCCAATTCGGTACAATTTCAAAAGGAATGGTTTCACGGCAATTTCTCTGAAGCCTTTTCCTATTCCAGCGTCCTATTCGTGCATCCGTTCAGTTCACGCGTCTAATGTTCTCAGGCATGCCGAGCGAATGCACGCGTTATCGAGTTGTGTGGAACGGAGGAAAAAGAAGGAAAAGAAAAGAAAAAAGATTGAGGTGCATCGACGTCGACTACGATCACTGGCCGAATGGCTGCGTAGACCTCGTTAATTCGAGAACGAGCATCCGTTATGCGCTCAAAATTCTTCGTGCGCGATCATAATTTTGCATTCTTTCTCTTCTACGAATTCCTCGTTTGGGCTCGACTATTTTGTTGTTAGTAATTCTTTAAAAAAAGAAAATCAATTATTTTAAGCGTTTAATTTCTTGTAAAATTATCTTAATTTTGTGCAAAGTTAATCAATTACGACGACTCAATTCGAATTTGATTTTATAGAAGGATAAAATTATTTCGATTAGCAGATTCCGTTTGCAGAGGAAGTCTCTCGTTTTATTCATCGATGATCGTTGAACATCGAGATGCGAATATTTTTCAAAGAGGAGCTAAACGAAGAAGAAGAGAGAATTTAAAGAAATCTATTACTGATCATTCACACGATTCTTGGCGAAAATCGTGAATCAATCCTGTTTAAAAAAGATTGTTTACTTGGAAGAATCTTTCAAACAAATGATAAGGAACTTTATGCGTGAACAAAATTCAAAATGGAAATCCAAACCCAAAAAACCCATCATTCGACTCATCAACTTCTCGCCTCGAGTTCTCCAGCCTCTTGACAGTGCTGTCCTCTCGATCGGCTCGTAATATATCCGAGGTTCTCGCCCTCTCCACTCGATCACAACCGATACCGTTACTTCCCCACTTGGAGGAGAAGAATGGCAAACGATCGACCAAATAGGGAGGGGAGGAGAGCGCGAAGTAGGGGTCCACGTGGAGGCAATGACCCAGTGCCCTTGATCCTGAGGATCCTCCAAGAGGGAAGGACAAACGGCCAATCGTTGCCTCGGCCACTTTTCCCACCTCTCGCGTCACAGTGACCTCGATTCCTTCCCCTTCCCACTCTCCCACCTGTTCCTTCTCCCCCACCTGTCGTCCTTTCTCTCTCTCTCTCTCTCTCTCTCTCTCTCTCTCTCTCTTTCCCTCTCTCTTCGAAGAGCTTCTATTTGGGTCGTTAGCCTTCCCCCTCGCCAAAGATAACCTGCTTACCTTAGCGATTATAGATTTTTAATTATTTATTTAATTATTTTAACAATCGTGCCATCGTTGGACCGAAGAATGGATCGAAAGGAAAGTGGATAAATGTTTGTTTGATGGATGAGGGATCGGACGAATGGAGAGGAATTTTAGGAATGAAGGAAGAGAATTAATATATGTGTCGAGGGACGCGTACAAAATTGTGCGCAAAGAGTTTGTAAAAAAAAGAGAAGAGAGGATATGATGCCGTTTTATTTAAAATAATGCGGAGTGGAGATAACAGAGAGGAGATAATAAATAAAATGAGGGGATGAGTGGATGAATTTTGGTTTTTCTAAAGATTAAACTCAAGGGATGTCTTGATAGGGGTACTGTTCAGGCCCAAATTCAGGGGCCCAACCTCTGTAGGGTTGATTCAGCTCCTCCTGCGACCTGTGCCAATGTTCGTGGTGGATCTCGGGTTTCACGACTCCGTAGGTCACCCTGGCGGGGGCTGGCGGTGGCGTGAGCAACGCCTTCAGGGCAACCGCTCCTGAGAGGAGAAGGGACAGCAGACCAGCGCCGAGTCCCTTGATCCCTATCAGACCGATCAGAGTGATGATGATGGGCAGGACGATCATGGCTTTGAGTTTTAGGGCCAGCAGAAGCGGCAGTACGATCTTCTTCAGTTTGGTTCGGGCTGGAACGAAAGCGAAACGAAAATTTAAAGTTTCACTTTTAGAAATTTTGCCACTTTTTTTTTTTTTCTTTAACAATACGTGATCACTCGAATCGATTACAAATACAATACAATGACGAAGTGTATAAAATTGATGAATTTCAAATCCGATATAGAAAATAGGCTCTTATCAATTTCTTTTCTTTTTTAACGATGAACAATGCGTTATTATCATCAGAGAAGAGCGACGACAAATTTTGCGTGTACCCTTGATTGATGGCCAAGTGAAATTTATCTATACGATGAATGATGGCCAGGGCAGGGATACAAGAATCTTGGAATCTTTAATGGCCGCTTATCGCCAGCTATCTACTTTCTTCGACATGTGGCACTCTCGTTCAAGGTCCTCGTTCCTCTCGGCTCTCGTCGGCCGCCGTCCCAGAAACCCGGAATCCCAACGGCGGCCCACTTTGCCCCCTCCCCGCCGTCCTTTTCGCGGATGCGGAGGAAGTGGGACGCGTGTCGGCTTTCTACGCGGCCGCGGCCACTTTCCTGTCCCTCTTCGTCACCTTCTCGCGCGTTCTCTTCACTCCTTCCCTCCGTGGAAGGAAGGCAGGTTGATTCGGGGAGGGGGAGAAAGAAAAGAAAAAGAGAGAGAGAAAGAAAAAAAAAAGAAAAATTGGTGGAAATTTCGAGGCGAGGAAAAGAGGCCGAGGAAAAGAGGAGAGCGCGCGAGGAGGCGCCGGATTCTCGCCACCAATCGGAAGCCTCGCCACCGGAAGTCCCACTTTTGCAGCCAATCGTTTCTCGCCTCGGCTGGCTTACTTCGATCGTATTAGAGAGAGTTTAGAAAGGCGAGGGGCTATAAGTTGGCGGACGTGCCGCGATCCGTTCGCAGCACCGGCTCGACGCCTCGAAGATCGAGACGCGTGGAATTCAAGTTGGTTAAATTAGAGAATCGCCACTTGTGTGGAGCATGAATATTTTTCCATTAGTTTGAGCGTTCTCTCGCGCTTTGGTATTCGGAGGAGTCGTCGAGGCCTCGAATGCTTAAGATGATCGATATGTAGGCTAAAGGAGAGATCGAAGGAATGGTTTTTTTTTTTTTTTTTTCGATAGAAAGTTCCTTCGAGCTTTCCTCATGATTAATTCTTCGGTGAGTTTTTCTTCTTTTGGAGAAAAAGATTTATATGTTTCTTTATGTAGTCTATTCTTTTTCTCCCCCTTCTATTTTCTAATCTCTCGAATTTCACTTTCTAGTTTCGATTCTTTTTAATAAAAACTTGGAGACTTTCGATATGTAGTGAAAACATTTATGCGACACGTGTAATCAAAACTCAAACTCGACTCAAGAATAGTTGATATTTGATCGAACTTCGTTTCTTGAAAAAAATTCCTAATTTTTGCTTAAAACTTAAAAAAAAAATATGATCGACGTTCAAGACAGATCTCGTAAGAGGATTATTCACCTTTGAATAATTTCAAACGACTCGATATTTTTCTCCCTTATTTTCCACACGATTGATTCATCGAATTCTCGCGTGATGAATATTATTTTTTTTTTTTAAAAGCGACGTTTAAAAAAAATTCAATTTCAATTTTTTTCTTCTCGCTCCCCTTCCGCCTCGCCCCAAAAAAATAATTCTCACCTTCGGATGCACCCGTGGTCAAGGCTCTGAGTTCAACGCCCATCTCCTTCCGTCCCAAGGCTCTGCCAAACATATCTGCGGAAGATCCATCGTTGGGCAGACGAACACGAATCCTCCTGCTCTTCAAGAATCGTTCGATCTGTCCTATTAGAGGGTCCTCGCTCTTGGTCGATCTTCCTTCCTCGTCGTCACTCGCAACCTTCTCCAAAGTGATTATGTCGCCGTAGACGTTGATGGTATCCCTCTCGTTTAACTCGTGCATCGCCCTCGTCAGCCTGATCTCCGCGTTTCCCGGATCTTCCGCGACGGCGACGCAGCCGAGGGACAATAGAATCGCCAATAAAATCGCGTTAAAAGATTTCATCGTGATGAAAATCTGTTGGGTATCGACGAACGCGCGAGGATTTTGACTGTTTGCCCCGGGGGCAAATTTTTCTTTTATACTTCGGCCCGTGATCGATGGTGGGGGCGGTTTGAACCATTTGGCAAGCGACGTGCAAGGGCCGCGGTGTCAAGAATTTTAATTTCAACGTCTCGCCAATCTACGCTAAGCCCACGATGAGCGGCTTCTACGCGAGTGACGTTGCGTTCAAACCGATAGAAATTTAATTTTCCTTTTCAGCGCGATCACTTTCGAGCGATCTCGTATGTTTTCCAATTAGATTTTGCCATCAATCACTGTTTTGTATCTGTCAACAATTTTTATCAAATCGTTATTATTATTGTTATTCTTTTTATCTATCTAAGATAAATGTCAAAGTTACTTTCAAAAGATATATCGAATATTTTTGTGCGTAATTCTTAAAGCAAGCGATTATTAATTTTGCCAACGATTTTACTGCGCGTTCTTAATAATTGCACGAAATCGTTTAATATCGAAAGACCGGATGACATATTTTTTTTTT